AAAATGTCACAGTTAGTGCTCTCAAGCCTCAGACTGCTCGTATAAAAGCCCACAGAATGGTTTAGGCTGGGAAAGAAGTCTAAGATCATTTGATAATAACTGAGGAAAAAAATAAAGGAAGGACTGTGTTCTTGAGCAAATACACTGTATTTTACACAGTGAATGGGATCTCATCACCTTCATCCTACTTTTCTTCACAGTTCATATGATTTCCTTTTCCAGCTCTGCCATTCTTTGGCTGGCTGATGTATGACAGCCCAGCATCATAAGCAAACAAAAAAATGGAGGAGGGCAGAATCACTGTTTAGACTTCTTACCAACACTAAAATACTCATTTTCTGTCATGTTTCTGTGAAGATATGTGAAACCCATTTACTTGCTTGAGAATGTATGATCAGTAACAGTGGGAATCTATAAACACTTATCCAAACTTTTGTCAAGGTAAAAAATAATATAATCCCTTTTGGGGGGTTTCTTGTGCACTGAGAAGCCTTTTCTTTTGTGCTGCATATGCTGGAGAGGCGTTTTCAGTTTCCATCTGTGGATGGAAGGTGCTGTGCCCCAAGCCTGGGGTTTGCACTTGTTCTTTATGCAGGTCAGAAAGCAGCACTGGTGTTGTTGGATTCAAGCCCTACAAGTCTGGGGAGCATCCATCAGTTTTGATTACTTCTCATGTGCCTGGCAGGCCCTGAATGTTCTCCTTCCACATCCCCGGGACTCTGTGGGGCTTCCTGGGATCTCCCCAAAGCCTGGAGTGAGATTTTCTGCCACTGCTGGGTGCTAGCACACCTTCAGTGTGAGACTCCAGGGTAGTTCACTGAAACTGGCACATCAAATCAGCCTCTGAAATGAAGTTTTTGGCTGAGAAAGACAGCAGGAACTTCATGACTCTGAACAGCTTGCACCAGTTCTAGAGAACAGATTTGCCTTTGTGTAGATAAACCCTTAAAAGTGGATATTATTATTATGCCATCAAAACTTTGGACAAGTTAATTACTATGGTCAGGAATCATGTGCTGTTATATTAATCTCAGACTAATCTTAGAATGGTTTGGTTTGGAAGGAACCCCAATGACATCTTGTTCCAGCCCCCTGCCATGGGCAGGGACACCTATTGGATGCAGAAATGCTGCAGCTGGAGTGAGAGTTTTTGACATCCTAACTGAAATAGAAGAGAAAATGTGCATGTTTAATTTCTTTAAAGTATATGGTGCAGAATTTACCGTGATACAAACGTTCCGCTGGGGTGAGGTGGATTTTAAATACTGTAATTTATCTCTCTATTCAGCACATACTTTTTAAATCTTTGATGATCGTGGAAGCTATATAAAAGCTGTAAAAGTATTAGCTTTTTAATAAAGTGTTTAATGTGGAGATCCATGTCTATGCAGCACCTATTTTTTTAATCTTTGGTAATAGAGGAAGCTGTAAAAGTACCAGGTTTTTACTGAAGTGTACAAAAGAAAACATGTGAAGGTGAGACTGGATTTTTTGCATAACACAATCTGAAGACTAATACATGAACAGAGTGATTAAATAATACTGAAAGAAGTAATTCAGTGAAATAGCAATGCTGTCAGGTTAACTTTGTGTTTGACAGCCTGTGGTAAAAGTTCTGCATCACCATTATGTGAAGATACTATTTGTGGAACCAGTACATATTAATTTCAGCAGATAATGGTGAAAAACATTACTTGAAAGTAGCACTCATTGAGGCAGCTGCCCACTTAGATGATTAATAATTAGAAATACTGCTGGTATTTCTGATGTGGAAAGATTGCTTCCTTCAGGAGAGGAACAGATATTTACCATATTTCAGGTTGTTTCACCATCAGGTCTGGATGTGGGCAGATCCATCCAGGATCCTGATTAAATTATCTGTTATTGTCAGTGTGCACATCCAGATTTGTCGAGGTGTGGAGGGAGCTGGGAAAGGATCAGCCTGGAGAGAAGGGGGATCAGGGGGAGCCTGTGGCTCTGCACAACTCCCTGACAGGAGGGCACAGCTGTGCTCACCTCAGTTCTGTGACACAAATGGAGATCTCCATTTACTGGTTCAGCACATCAGCATCGAGTATGGAGAACGTGGATCTGTGAACATGTTGCTCATTCTCTTCAGCAAGATAAAATCTGCTTAAAAACTGATGAAATTCTGAGGAACGTGCAGGTTTGCTGAAGTGATGTCTGAGGGCTTTAATTTTTTCCTTCTCTCTTTTTTTTTTTTTTTTTTTTTGTAGCTCACTGAAAACTGTCTCTGTAGGCTTCTCCCTCTTTTCCTACCAGCTTACTGAATTTCTTTTCCTTAATGTTACCTTGATAAAGACTTTGCTGCTTTAATATATAATTTTCATTGTGACTTTCATTGCTGCAATTAAGTGGCTAATTGAACAGTTTATAATGTCTGTTCCAATTGTTTCTGCCATAGGTTAACTATGAATGGCATAGAAAATTAACACACAAAACTTTGCCTGTGTACCTTTTGCTGAGGAAGACCTCAGAGATTTTCTCTTTATGGGCAAATGAAACTGCTTAAAATGTTTTAATATTAAACTTTCTTTGATATTGAATCTTAGATGCCATCTACAGTGTAATATGCCATAGTTTAAAAATGCCCATGAAATGTAAGTGTAGATAGAAAATACATTTGGGGGTTGTGGTATAACCTGCAGTAAAATATGTGAGGCTGCAGTTAAACACATCCTGTCTTGCTTATCCTGCTGAAAATACAGGGCAGCAATTTGGACTTCATGGATTGTCTGCTGTAAGAATAGAGCAAAACTAATATAAGCCTCTAGAAAAACCCTCCAATGGGTTTATCACAGAATAAATAGAAGTTTAATCTGCCTGTGCTATTTATAATAAAACATGGGCTTTCGAGCAGCTTTTATGGAAAAAAACCCAGTAAAGTCTGGTCATATGGGAGAGTGTTCCCAGCTGTTCCTGGACTCTGCACTGGAGTGGAATGGAGAGGAGCACAGTGCAAGAGCAAATCTGACAGAAATTCAGAGAAATTAAAGCTTCTCAAGTCTATCTTCAGAGTTATAATTAAAAAAAATACATTCAGGGGCTTAGTGTAGCAATTTCATTATTATTAAAATAATAATATAATCATCACTTTAGCATATAGATTTTATTTTTGATAAAGCTGCAGCAGAACGAAAAGAGGAGCAGTAATATGAACTTAGGGAGACAGTTTCTTGTTTGTTATTAAAACTATTTCTTTAAAAGTAAATATGGCTGACCAAAAAAAAAAGAAAGAAAGAAAAAGAAAAAAATTCTCCATAAAAAGTGAGTGGGGACATGCTGCATCTGGAAGATCTTTGTTTTCAGGCAGCTGGGTCTATAAATGCGTTTCCATATATCTGCCCATTTCCTTGTCCTCTCAGTGGTGAAAGAAACCAAACATCTTATTTGAAGTGTTGATTGATAGAGCCTGTACAGTACTGCTCTTGTCAAGGAAGATTTCTTGTGCTGACCTTTTTGTCCTCTGTTTAAACTATTCTCCTCCCCTTGTTCTTTACTAGTTCTAAGATTTACCTGTTTCCCTTTTCTAAATCATACTGACTTTTCAAATCTGCTTGATTACAGGCCTAGCTTTGGTCTCGTCCTTTTCCTTGCTGTAAATTTCTTCCATACTGAAATTTTTTTTTTAAATTCCTTCTTTGTTTTCAGGTTTATTTTATTCACTTTATTTCTTGGTACGTTTTATTTCTTCCATGCCAAAGGGAGGCCTTGAAATTTAATTGCACGGGCAATTATTCTTCACCTTTCTAAACTGAGTTTTTCAGCCTCATTTCCCTGAAGCAGAGCCTGGGAGGTGTCAGTGCTGAGATGGGCAAGGCTGTGTTGCACTGATGCTGCAGAATTCCTTTGGTCTAGGTGCCTCCAGTGGTGGGGGCCTCCTTGGGACCCCAGAACTGCCCAGGCAGGTCTTGGCAACAAGGCACCTTTGCAAGCCTTGCCCAGATGGAATTCAGGCTCACAATGAGCCAGCAGAGGTAGAGATTGAGAAGTGCAAACAGGAAAACTCCTTAGAGTTTATTTCTTCTGTGAAGGGAGTCCAGTCTAGCAAATCCCACTGGGTGGGCTTTCTAAGGGGTTTTTATAGGTTTTAAAGGTTTTACATTTTGCACCAATTACCAGAAGAATTCTAAAACTAACCAATCCACAAAGGGCTTTAGGGGAAAAGGGAACCAATTGTCTAAGAGGAAAATGAACCACTAATATTACAGAAAGATAACAAAAAGACGGGGGGCAAAATAGTTCTTGGTATTGGTCACTCTAAGCAAACAATTTCTTATCTTTAAGGTATTGTCTTCCATGGGGCCCTTTCCAGGGACTCAGAGAGGGTCTCTGCTTTGGGAATGGTTTCTGCTCCCTCCCCATCTGGATGTTCTTATTTCCCTTGGGTGCCTTTCCTTTCATTGCACAGAAATTCCCTGTGAGCCTCCAGTTCACCCAGCCCCCTCTGCCTACCTCGATGTGGACACACTGTTAGAAAGCTAGGAAAATCACAGCCTGAAAAATATTCCAGGCTGGAGCTTTTCAGCTCAATTCCCAGGCTGATAAGCTGGTTTCAGCTTCAGCTGGGGAGAAATTCTCCCAGGATGATAATCTGATCAAAACAGAATGGAATTCACAATAAAGATTAACACCTGGTGTTTTTCCTGTGGGACACATTCTAAGGTGCAGTCTCATGGATGTTTTTCCCAGTTATCCAATGAGCTCTGTCCTGTCTTAGTTCTCCATAACATGCTTTGAATATGGGTTGTCCTCTCAATAAAGTTGGCCTTTTTCCCCTAAAGACACCCACATGTGACGCTGTCTTGGCCATCTCTTTCTCTCTCTCTGTACCACAGGAACCACATCTCAATTTTCCTTTTTTTTTTTTTTTTTTTTTTTTTTTTTTTTTTTTTTTTTTTTTTGGTAAATTTAATTTTTATTTTTGTTTGTGGTGTTTCCCCCCGTGTGACTGACTGCAGGGTGTTCTGTGCGTGCAGGGTTTGGCAGCGCGGAGCGCACGTGCGACAAGGAGTTCATCATCCGCAGGGCCGCCACCAACCGCGTGCTCAACGTCCTGCGCCACTGGGTCTCCAAACACTCACAGGTAACCCCCCTGTGCTGCACTGCCCGCTTCTGCTGCTGGGATTGTGTGCCCTGTCCCCACAGCAGGCACGGGACAGGGCTGTCTCTGAGCTGTGGTTCCGCCCTTTTGCAGACAGGGACACACGGGAGACGGTGGAAGCTCCCGCCCCGACAGCCACAGAATGAATTCTCCTGGTTATGTCAGGAAAAGTTAAGCCACAGACGCCAGAGGTTTGTGTCCTGAAAGGAGACAGAGGGGTTGTGGACACACACATTCAGAGAGCTGGGGAATTACAGCTTGGGAATTCCCTCCAGGCCTGGATTTCTCCTGACTCTCAGCTCCATTCCCAGGCTGACAAGCTGACTGCAGCTTCAGTTAGGGAGGAGTCTCCCAGGGTGACAACATGGTGACAAACAGAGTGGAATTCATCACCAACATTAACCCCTGGTGCCTTTCCCGTGGGACACATCCTGAGGTGCTGTCCCAAGGATGTTTTTCCCAATTGTCCAATGAGCTCCTGTCCTGTCCTGGCTGCACTGACACACTTTAAATCCGGGCTGTCTGTACAATAAATTGGCCTTTTTTCCCCACAGAGCTCCGTGTGTGTTACTGTCCTTTCTCTCTCTTTGCAGTGCAGTAACCACAAGGAGTCCTTTTATTTTATTCAAATAAAGTGAGAGAACATGGGGCATTCCCCTGGGATCTCTCAGATTTTTGGAGGACTCACCTCCCTTTTTATTCACATTTCCCTCTCTCTTTCCCCATGGGCTGAGTTATTGGAGAGGCACAGACTTCCCAAACACCTGATACCTGAGATTCCCCTCTAATGTATAACCCTCCCTTTTAATTTTTAATTCTTATACAATTCATAGTTTTTCCCCATTGCTTCTTTCACCTTTCAATATCCAATTTCATTGATCAGCAACCCTGCAGTTTGTTTGTAAAGGCAAATATCTTTTTCCATTCATCAATCAGTGGAATCCATCCCATTGTTTCTTTTATCTCTCAGTGCTGGTTTTATTTACCAGCAGACCCACAGCTTGTTGGAAAGACAAATTCCTCATTCCTCTCAGTTACAAAGTCTTTTAACAACTTTCTAGCCAATAGCATAATGGTCAAAGCTGACAAGTGTTTGCTCAACCAATTAATAAAGGTGCACGTACATCTTGTTTTGAACAATGCTTGCTTGTAATAGCTTAAAACAAAGGATAAAGGTTTGTTATTAAGCTTAAATATTTCTACTCTCTTGCTTAACATATTTTCCTGAGGTCTGTCTGTGCACAGCTCACAGCCCTGGTGTTTCTTGTCCTTGCTTTTTCAACATTCCTTCATTTCTCTATCCTGAGATTTGCTTTCACATAGCCTTCTGAGAGTTTTGTGGTTTTTTTCCCTATTTCCCACACCCTGGAACACACAGGGATCAATATCTCACTCTGCTCATGCCACAGCCAGCCCAGCCCAGCTGCTCTGCCTGTGTCGAAGTGCTCGTGTTCTCATGCAGAAGTTTATTCTCTTATTTATTTCCATATGTTTATTCATGGTGAATTGTGCACAGGAAACCACGTCCATGGCCCTGGCAGCACTGGGGGTCTGGTTGGTGATGGCAAAATGGTGCTGAAAGAGGAGGGAGGGGAAAAAAATCCAAGTGTTTTGTGCAATATCATGGATAAAAGCATCCTCTGGGCTGACAGGTGGGAAACATGCTGGGAGAATTCGACATGGATGTGGAAGAGTATTGAAAATTGGGAAGGGAAGGGAAGGGAAGTAAAAGAGAGAAAAAAGGACAATAAACGG